GAAACACCCCAAAAACCCTCAAAAACCGCCCAAAACACCCCAAAACAACCCAAAAACCACCCAAAACACCCCAAAACAGCCGTCCAGAGCTCCTGGCTGCGCTGCTTCTGTGATGTTTAACTGGTGGGGACCCCAAAAACACCCCAAAAACACCCCAAAAACACCCCAAAAACACCCCAAAAACCTCCTAATACACCCCAAAACCACCCAAAAACCTCCTAATACACCCCAAAACACCCCAAAAAACCTACTAATCCACCCCAAAACACCCCAAAAACCTCCTAATAAACCCCAAAACCACCCAAAAAACCTCCTAATACACCCCAAAACACCTCAAAACACCCCAAAAACACCCCGAACCATCCCAAAACACCCCAAATACCTCCAAAAACACCCCGAAACACCCCAAAAACACCCCAAAAACATCCCAAAAACCTCCAGAAACACCCCCAACTTTTGGGGTTTCCGAGCACTTTTTTTGGGGTTCTAGACTATTTGTTTTTTGTCTCACCTCAGCTTTTTTTTTTGGGGGGGTTCTAAACTCGATTTTTGGGGTTCTAAACTCGATTTTTGGGGTTCCTGACCACTTTTTTGGGGTTCCTGATCATTTTTTAGGGGTTCCTGATCATTTTTGGGGTTCCAGGTTCAGCTCTTTTTTGGGGGGATCGAGGCTCGACTTCTTTTTCGAGTTCTCGGTCTCGAATTTCGGGGTTCTAGGCTCAGTTTTTGGGGTTCTGGGTGTCGAACTTTCGGGGTTCGAGACTCAGGTTTCGGGGTTCGAGACTCAGATTTCGGGGTTCTAGACTCAGGATTTTGGGGTTCTAGACTCGGATTTTGGGGTTCTAGGTGTCGGGGTTCTAGACTCGGATTTTTTTTTGGGTTCTAGACTCAGATTTTTGGGGTTCTAGACTCAGATTTTGGGGTTCTAGGTGTCGGGGTTCTAGGCTCGGATTTTGGGGTTCTGAACTCAGATTTTTTGGGGTTCTAGACTCGGATTTTTTGGGGTTCTAGACTCAAATTTCGGGATTCTAGACTCAGTTTTTTCGGGTTCTAGACTCGGCTTTTTTGGGGGGTTCTAGGTGTCGGGGTTTGGGGTTCTAGACTCGGATTTTGGGGTTCTAGGTGTCGGGGTTCTAG